TCGTGTTGCAAGGCCGGGCTGACCGATCCCAGACTCAAATTTAAATAATTTTTTTAACCAAGGGCAGGCATTTCTACAGAATTGAGTTTGTGTTGTTAAAGGGCTGGCAAAAATCTGGAAACTGTAGCCAAATTCAGTAAAAATGCGCAAGTTAAGGCAGAAAAAGTTAAGATCAACTTGAGGAATTCATAAAATGCATTAAATGATGAAATTCATAAAATCTAGAAACATGACAATATTTTTTCATTGAGATGACGGTTCTGGTTTGAAAAACGCTATATTTTTGATGATCAGATCTCTTCTTAGCTTTACTGGGCACTCAGTTCATACAATCCGAGTGAGCCTTCGGTCCTAAGATTAATTCTCTATCGAATTATAAAATCTGTCTTAGTTTGAAGCCGACTCAAGGGCCGGCGCCCAGTCAAGGCCGCTTTCAGATTCGTGGCCTTGTGGCACGATTGGGAATTCTGTTCCAGAATTTTAGCTTCTGAACTAAAGTAGTTCCGAAGAAAGACCATTTATCCGAAAGGGGCTCCATTGTTGCGCAGCTACAGCTTCAATTTAGAGTGAAGTTAGCTTGAAGGGTTGACATTTTTAGCAGTCAGTATTCTTCATGACTTGGAGTTTGTTGTCGATCTCGATGGGTGTTTGCGGTGGCTTATCGCTGTGGGGTAGCGATTTGGATTCTGTATCGATGGGCTGCATTGTTATGGCCATCGGACTTGCTGTTGACTTCTCTGTTCACATTTGTTATCGTTATCATCGATCTCAGCAGCAAACAGCGCATCAGAAGGTAGGGGCCAAATTGGAACAGTTTGTTCTTTGCTTCTGGTTTTTTATCAGATAAAAAACAGCCTCAGCTGCATCGATGGCGTGACAACGGACATATAGCTGCTCAAGTATTCAAGTAAAAAAACATTTACAAATTAGTCGTTGTCAAAGAAGACAAGGTGCATGCTGTTGCGGTACTTGTGACACCACTTCTACGCTTTACTAGTTCCGCGACCAGTAAATAATACCAGTTTTTTTCTTTTTTCAGTGGTACTAACCGTAGTATATCTGAAAAACATTGGGTGGCAAGGCGTACAAATTGAAGATATGCTACTCAGAATCGAATGATCTGGCACTCCGCGCCTGTGTGTGAAAACATCCCAGCGACATCGTTAACATGGAATCAACGCATCGGCTGTCCTGAAATATTTAGCATAACTGAACATACCGGGGGAAATGAGTTAAAATTGCAAAAACTATGAGTTAAACTGTTTCGAAAATGATGTCAGTTAAAAGTTTTTTTTTGGATGAAGACATTGCAGGTTCGAGAAGCTTTGACAGTGGTCGGTTGGCCGGTGGTGCA